TATGGAATGAAACCAACATTACACCGCTATAAAGCGCTTTAAACAATGTCATCATTGGGGGAAAGCCAGTCGTTTACTCCTCTCAATATGGAATGAAACCAACATTACACCGCTTTAAAGCGCTTTAAACAATGTCATCAATGGGGGAAAGCCAGTCGTTTACTCCTCTCACTATGGAATGAAACCAACATTACACTGCTATAAAGCGCTTTAAACAATGTCATCATTGGGGGAAAGCCAGTCGTTTACTCCTCTCAATATGGAATGAAACCAACATTACACCGCTTTAAAGCGCTTTAAACAATGTCATCATTGGGGGAAAGCCAGTCGTTTACTCCTCTCAATATGGAATGAAACCAACATTACACCGCTATAAAGCGCTTTAAACAATGTCATCATTGGGGGAAAGCCAGTCGTTTACTCCTCTCAATATGGAATGAAACCAACATTACACCGCTATAAAGCGCTTTAAACAATGTCATCAATGGGGGAAAGCCAGTCGTTTACTCCTCTCAATATGGAATGAAACCAACATTACACCGCTATAAAGCGCTTTAAACAATGTCATCATTGGGGGAAAGCCAGTCGTTTACTCCTCTCAATATGGAATGAAACCAACATTACACCGCTTTAAAGCGCTTTAAACAATGTCATCATTGGGGGAAAGCCAGTCGTTTACTCCTCTCAATATGGAATGAAACCAACATTACACCGCTTTAAAGCGCTTTAAACAATGTCATCATTGGGGGAAAGCCAGTCGTTTACTCCTCTCAATATGGAATGAAACCAACATTACACCGCTTTAAAGCGCTTTAAACAATGTCATCATTGGGGGAAAGCCAGTCGTTTACTCCTCTCAATATGGAATGAAACCAACATTACACCGCTTTAAAGCGCTTTAAACAATGTCATCATTGGGGGAAAGCCAGTCGTTTACTCCTCTCAATATGGAATGAAACCAACATTACACCGCTTTAAAGCGCTTTAAACAATGTCATCATTGGGGGAAAGCCAGTCGTTTACTCCTCTCAATATGGAATGAAACCAACATTACACCGCTTTAAAGCGCTTTAAACAATGTCATCATTGGGGGAAAGCCAGTCGTTTACTCCTCTCAATATGGAATGAAACCAACATTACACCGCTTTAAAGCGCTTTAAACAATGTCATCATTGGGGGAAAGCCAGTCGTTTACTCCTCTCAATATGGAATGAAACCAACATTACACCGCTTTAAAGCGCTTTAAACAATGTCATCATTGGGGGAAAGCCAGTCGTTTACTCCTCTCAATATGGAATGAAACCAACATTACACCGCTTTAAAGCGCTTTAAACAATGTCATCATTGGGGGAAAGCCAGTCGTTTACTCCTCTCAATATGGAATGAAACCAACATTACACCGCTTTAAAGCGCTTTAAACAATGTCATCATTGGGGGAAAGCCAGTCGTTTACTCCTCTCAATATGGAATGAAACCAACATTACACCGCTTTAAAGCGCTTTAAACAATGTCATCATTGGGGGAAAGCCAGTCGTTTACTCCTCTCAATATGGAATGAAACCAACATTACACCGCTTTAAAGCGCTTTAAACAATGTCATCATTGGGGGAAAGCCAGTCGTTTACTCCTCTCAATATGGAATGAAACCAACATTACACCGCTTTAAAGCGCTTTAAACAATGTCATCATTGGGGGAAAGCCAGTCGTTTACTCCTCTCAATATGGAATGAAACCAACATTACACCGCTTTAAAGCGCTTTAAACAATGTCATCATTGGGGGAAAGCCAGTCGTTTACTCCTCTCAATATGGAATGAAACCAACATTACACTGCTTTAAAGCGCTTTAAACAATGTCATCATTGGGGGATACCCAGTCGTTTACTCCTCTCAATATGGAATGAAACCAACATTACACCGCTTTAAAGCGCTTTAAACAATGTCATCATTGGGGGAAAGCCAGTCGTTTACTCCTCTCAATATGGAATGAAACCAACATTACACCGCTTTAAAGCGCTTTAAACAATGTCATCATTGGGGGAAAGCCAGTCGTTTACTCCTCTCAATATGGAATGAAACCAACATTACACCGCTTTAAAGCGCTTTAAACAATGTCATCATTGGGGGAAAGCCAGTCGTTTACTCCTCTCAATATGGAATGAAACCAACATTACACCGCTATAAAGCGCTTTAAACAATGTCACCATTGGGGGAAAGCCAGTCGTTTACTCCTTTCAATATGGAATGAAACCAACATTACATCGCTATAAAGCGCTTTAAACAATGTCATCATTTGGGGAAAGCCAGTCGTTTACTCCTCTCAATATGGAATGAAACCAACATTACACCGCTATAAAGCGCTTTAAACAATGTCATCATTGGGGGAAAGCCAGTCGTTTACTCCTCTCAATATGGAATGAAACCAACATTACACAGCTTTAAAGAGCTTTAAACAATGTCATCATTGGGGGAAAGCCAGTCGTTTACTCCTCTCAATATGGAATGAAACCAACATTACAAAGCTATAAAGCGCTTTAAACAATGTCATCATTGTGGGAAAGCCAGTCGTTTACTCCTCTGAATATGGAATGAAACCAACATTACACCGCTTTAAAGCGCTTTAAACAATGTCATCATTGGGGGAAAGCCAGTCGTTTACTCCTCTCAATATGGAATGAAACCAACATTACACCGCTATAAAGCGCTTTAAACAATGTCATCATTGGGGGAAAGCCAGTCGTTTACTCCTCTCAATATGGAATGAAACCAACATTACACCGCTTTAAAGCGCTTTAAACAATGTCATCATTGGGGGAAAGCCAGTCGTTTACTCCTCTCAATATGGAATGAAACCAACATTACACCGCTTTAAAGCGCTTTAAACAATGTCATCATTGGGGGAAAGCCAGTCGTTTACTCCTCTCAATATGGAATGAAACCAACATTACACCGCTTTAAAGCGCTTTAAACAATGTCATCATTGGGGGAAAGCCAGTCGTTTACTCCTCTCAATATGGAATGAAACCAACATTACACCGCTTTAAAGCGCTTTAAACAATGTCATCATTGGGGGAAAGCCAGTCGTTTACTCCTCTCAATATGGAATGAAACCAACATTACACCGCTTTAAAGCGCTTTAAACAATGTCATCATTGGGGGAAAGCCAGTCGTTTACTCCTCTCAATATGGAATGAAACCAACATTACACCGCTTTAAAGCGCTTTAAACAATGTCATCATTGGGGGAAAGCCAGTCGTTTACTCCTCTCAATATGGAATGAAACCAACATTACACCGCTTTAAAGCGCTTTAAACAATGTCATCATTGGGGGAAAGCCAGTCGTTTACTCCTCTCAATATGGAATGAAACCAACATTACACCGCTTTAAAGCGCTTTAAACAATGTCATCATTGGGGGAAAGCCAGTCGTTTACTCCTCTCAATATGGAATGAAACCAACATTACACCGCTTTAAAGCGCTTTAAACAATGTCATCATTGGGGGAAAGCCAGTCGTTTACTCCTCTCAATATGGAATGAAACCAACATTACACCGCTTTAAAGCGCTTTAAACAATGTCATCATTGGGGGAAAGCCAGTCGTTTACTCCTCTCAATATGGAATGAAACCAACATTACATCGCTTTAAAGCGCTTTAAGATACACGTTTTTTAAAAAAAGTAGTTCTTGCTTAGACCAAGCAGCAAACATTGGCACTAGGTTTTGCAATTTGTATTTCTTCACAAAAATCACATCAACTTTTAAAGAAGGATATGGTATTATTTTATAATTTCACCTGCTTTAAATGTAAAGTATTTAGTACAATGTTTTGCCATTGTAATTCCTTTTTTTTCCTTTTTTTTTTAAATTTCCATTAATGATTAATAGAAGTTTTCTACACAAAAGAAATTTTCCCCACTTATTTTGTATACATGGTAAAACGTGGAAGTATTTAGGAAAGGTAGTCATTATTGCACTAGCTTTTTTATTACGGCTACACCTTTTGCATGGAAAGATACATTTTCTTTATGAGTGAAGTAAGTTTACGGATTAAACAGTTTAAATAAATAAAAGAATAATTAAACTAAAACAACATTGGTAAATAGAACTTGTATAATAAACACGACGCGGACATCTGACGTTTGGCGGTCACTGAAATGTTCCTCTCTACAGGCAGCAGTTTGCTAACTTCAACATGTGACGTCAACGGTGGTAGGTTGTCATTTGGGGGGGGGGGGGGCCCGCAGAGATTCTAAATATAGATTGGGGAATTGCGTATCCTGTTTACAATTGGAACATGAGTGTCTGTGTGCATAAGTGAGCGTGTGTGTGTTTGTGTGTGTGTGTGTAGCCGATTGTTTGGGTGACGTAGTTTACGTAAAGGTCAGCATATAAATCATTAAAATCGTTTATATGTTATTGTTTTTTTGGGGGGCGGTGCACAAATTCTTTATTGAATCTATTTTTGTTGTACCAAACATCGACTATACGACATCATTCCACAGCTTGGTTTATCTGAACACCTGATGCTAGGTCACGGTATCATGGCGTATGGACATACAGGTGCTACAGGTAGAGTAAGACCCTTAAAATAACACACGTCCTGCTACCTATAGGGGATACAGCCGTGTTGTTGTGTACCTGTAGATGTGCAGCTGTAGGTACGAAACTGTTCTTGTCACAGCTTTATCATTGTTTGACACAAAGAAAGGGAAGGCAGGTAGACGTGTGTGAGCTAGAAACAGGTGTAACAGTCGTGTGAATCAAGGACCTGACTAATATTGTCTAATGTTTGATGGTATGTGTTAACTTACATGTTGCTAATGAGAATGTCTAAACAAAAATTGATTGAAGGATAGGCGGTCTTATCAATATAACTGAGATAGTAAGCCAGTGTGTGCAAGTGACAGCAAGTAAGTTGGTGCAAATTAGACAGTAATGATGTGCATATATTATGTGCTTTCATAAAGCGGCTTGCTTTGGCCAATTGATATCATAATTTATATTTTACAAGTAAAGGTTGAGGACTGATATTTTATTTATGGTCATTAAATTATTTTTGAACATAAATCCACTGAACACTAGTTAACTTCCGGTTCACCGTAGGTCAGTTATCCTGAGAGACTACGGAATGTTGCAGGTGTTGTTTCACAGTATATATATATGTATGTATATATATATATATTTATATATGTTATAATATATATATATATAACGTATTTTTTGGAGTATAACACGCGTATAACGCGCACACATCATTTGCCCCTATTTTCAGGGGAAAAAGTGCGTGTTATACGCCAATAAATACGGTATATATATATATATATATATATATATATATATGTATATAAAGACCTAAATGACGCCGTATGTATATTGAAAACTAATGTTTCAGTACATGATATAGAGAAAAATTTACTGTCTAGGGCCAGAGCAGGGGTCTCAAACTCAAACGATCCGGGGCCCAAGGCAGGAGAGTCTGAGTGAGACTGGGCCGCATCAAGTATCCACACAAAAAAAGCGACTACAAAAATTATCTCAACGAGACAGTATCATTGATTGCTAAAGGCGTTAAATCCTCAGTGAGAAATAAAATCCCAGGTGATCTAAAGTAAAACTATTCAGCTCGTAAAGGCTATGAAAATAACGAGCTCCTGATGAACAAAGACGAAAGACTGCCACTGGTGATTTTATAAACTAAAAAATGGAGTTCAAACAGAGGACGGGAGCAGGCAATATTGATGAATTATTGGTGCGAAGGAAGATGCTATTGTAGGGAGAACGAATTTTGATTTTTGTTTAAAACAGTTTAAAAGATCTTTTTGACTAAACCGATTTTGAAAGTGACCAGGCTGACAGGCTCGGATTTTTTCCCTCACTCCTCACTCGAACAGACTAGCGGTCATTTTAACAGGGATAACAAAATGCTACCATTTACGCAACTGTGCATTGCCCACTAATTGACTTTTAAAAACATTTAATTAAATCATATGTATGTGCAATATTCGAAGCTCGTTTTCTCGAAACCGCACCTTGGCCATGTTTGTCTCATAAAATTTTATAAAATAAAAATTTTTTAGTCCGATTTTAAAGCAGTTTTTACCATCATAATCAACACCCAAACCTATAGAAACATAATAAAAATCAGACTTAGACAAGTCAGTGAGATTCGACTGAAACCGCCGAGGAGGGTCACATTATAGATATGAGAATGGGGAAAACGCGCGGGCCGCATTAACACTAAAATTTTCAAAATATCGTGTTTCGGGCCTCAAATTGCCCGTGGGCCGCGAGTTTGAAACCCCCTTGGGATAGAGGGTACCATGTAAATCTCAAATTATTTGCTGGCTTATGTGTTGTTGTTTTTTTTGTCCCCAATTCAGGCGTGCTTACCATGAGTGTGTCATCCAGTCAGCAAAGGTCAACAAGAGAGCCGCCGGCAGACAGCCCGTATGTCGGCCGGGTAGGGCTAGAAGAAATGGAGGCCATGAGAAGGACGATGGACCCGAACGCGTTCTCCGCGCCTTTGAATCAAGGGAGCCTATCGCGATTGGACAAATTTAACCTATTTTTCCTGATTGCTTTCCCTTTGTTCTTCTTTGTGCTGGGGATAATTCTGACGGCCGCCCTGGGTTAGCATGGATATAAAAAATTTGAAGAATGGCAAAAAGTTCAGTATCTTTTAGGACATTTATTTTCAGACGTACCAACAACCCACCTCACCTCAAAAAAAAAAAAATAAAAAAAAAAAAAAAAAAAAAAAAAAAAAAAAAAAAAAAAAAAAAAAAAAAAAAAAAAAAATAAATAAAAATAAATAAATAGTGAAAAGCGAACTACTGACCTTAAATGAATAGTGGAACAAGATATGATATGAATGGGTTACACAAGATTCATTATAAGTAACGTTTGAATACATGTTTATGCTTTGCTTAAAAAAATAAATGCATAAATTATGACTGCTCTGATTATAATTTTTATGAACTTTTAGCGTGAAACTTATTTAAAATATTTGTTTTTTTTTAATTAAAAAGATACATTTTCACTTTATTATACCATAAATAACCCATTGACACCATATAAAGCTAGAAAATATCACAGATATAGATGTACTGTGTTAAATACATGCTATATAAACATTGCAACCTTTTACAGTGCTAAAATGGTTGAACTTGTTCAGCTATTGTCCTCGGACAATTGTCACATATATTATTATAATATAGTGTATAGTTTGATACCGGTACATCACATTCTCTCTCTCTCTATTTATATAAGTCTTGTAAATTGTAATTGTCTGAACAATAGATCAAAGTCACTCAATGAACCTACAAGATTTCGTGCACTTTTATAACACTGACACCTATCTTCTGCTTAATTGACAATCAGTTTTGTTTTCCGTTAAAACAATGACACATTCTTCTCCTTGACTCACAGTTTTGCTTCCCGTTTTGGTGACTCCCAAAATCAAAAGGAGTTTGATAATAAAAACGTGTACTTTACCACCTATCATATTCATTTGTTACATATAAATATATATATATATATATATATATATATATATATATATATATATATATATATATATGAGAATGTTTGGAAATATGTCAGAACTAATTTGTAGCGTAAACGTATCAGACGGATGTGTGTGCTCGCTAAAGTTGATAAAAAAACAACAAAAAGCAAATCGAGCTAGCAGTGAGTTCATATCAAGGCCAGACGGTTGATTTCCACCGACTTGATGAAATCATTCATGTTTATGGTTTGAATGTTACTTGTAAGTGTGAATGTTTCATTAGTGTACATTTGAATGTGTCATTTGTGTAAACTTGAACGTGTGAACTGTTTTAGCGTGCATATTCGTTTAATTTAAAGAGACCTACAAAATGATCGATTTGATTCGAAAGGACGGCGCTAAAACAGCTGATTATAAGCATTAGTTTCGTAAAAATATAACATCATGTCACCAGAACAAAATGGGTGGGGGTGGGGAGTAGGGAATGGGGTGGGGGCAGGGGGTGATGCTTAGATGGACGTTGCTGGATTGTATAATAGGAATGATTGTGTCATAATAAAAATCTTATCTACAATGGTTTGAAAAAGGTTATTTCAAAATTCGCTTACATTAATATTACATATGTATTTATTATTATAATATTATTTTAGCTTTTTTTAAAATAAAAAATAACTGTCACTTTTGGGGTGATGTCTCACTGTTGGGATGATAACTCACTGTTGGGATCAGGTCTCACTGTTGGGATGATAACTCACGTTTGGGATCATGTCTCACTGTTGGGATGATAACTCACTGTTGGGATCAGGTCTCACTGTTGGGATGATAATTCACTGTTGGGATCATGTCTCATTGTTGGGATGATAACTCACTGTTGGGATCAGGTCTCACTGTTGGGATGATAACTCACTGTTGGGATCAGGTCTCACTGTTGGGATGATGCCTCATTGTTGGGATCATGTCTCATTGTTGGGCCGATGTATCACTGCTGTGCTGTTGTCTTTCCATGATTTTTACCAGGAAATGTAAAATAAATGTAGAAAATGACAATAGGCTTAGAAATTATATTCACAATTCACTGACAAATTTGACCACTGCTGATTTAATTTGATTAAAAATTTTAATCAAACGCACAGCCTTCAAATTAAAGACGTGTCAAACATTGGGCGAGGCACTAGTTATCAACTTAATTATAAACTTAACTGTCAACTTTGGGCAGTCACCAACTGAAGTATCAACTTTAGGCAGTCATCAAGTTAGCTATCAAATTTAGACAGTCATCAACGGAAGTATCAACTACAACTTTGGGAATTCATCAGGTTAAGCATCAACTTTAGGAATTCATCAACGTAAGTATCAACTTAATTATAAAAATGGAATCAACTTTGTGCAGTCATCAACTTTACGACCAATTTTAGGCAGTCCCCAACTTGTAACTAGCAACTTTAGGCAGAAATGACATAAACTATCAACTGTCGACTGTCAGTATTTCCCAAACTTCCTGAAAGAATAGCAACATGTCTGAAGGATTGTTACCTTATTTGTGTCATCAAATATCTCCGTTAAGAAAAACACACGTGCGTGACGTCAGGGCCGGCCTTAGGCCACTGCAACCTAATACGGCCGCAGTGGGCCCCGCACTTTCATAGGCCCCACTTTCTAATACAAAATCTTAGTTGTCACTTATTATCCTTATCCCTACCCAGACTGGGGCCCCATGCAATCCGTTTCGCAAAGGGCCCCGCAATTGTTAGGGCCGGCCCTGCTTGACGTAGTATTTGGGGAGCTGGAGCCAACAATTCAACAAGTCAGAAACATAAACGTTTGTTGAGCATCCCACGTGATCCACATCCCACGTGACCCCTATCCCCACGTGATCCAAAATCCCACGTGATCCACATTCCACGTGATACACATCTTTTATTTAAAATACAACAAAACCATTTAGATCGCAAGGCTTGCACATTTCTCCCCCTTCCACGCCGCCATCTTAAATCTTGTTAGTTGTCATTGCAACATCTCCCTGACACCTTAGATTTCTTTTTTTCTTTTTTTATCTAACTGGACAAAATCAGATCGGGCATATTCGTTGCATCTTTAGAAAGCATGAAGTTTTAATCGATTACTTTAAAAAAAAAGTGATCTTTTAGATCTCATCTCAGTCGCGTTTTAAAACCACATGACAATGACACTGCGACGTCATTCATCGGGTATTTTCAATCTCCAATACAGAATAATAATTTAACCTCTCATAATCAGGAACTAAGCTCAGATTCAGATTCCGACTCCTTTTCTTCAAAATCGAGTTTATGACAATTTGTTTTAAAATTTCACTCCTTTTTAAATCTATTAACATATTCTAATTTCTGGAAAATGCTTTAAAAATTATTTTAAAAAAAAACAAAAAAAAAAAAAAAAAAAAAAAAAAAAAAAAAAAAAAAACAAAAAAAAAAACAAAAAAAAACAAAAA